CAGTTGTCAAGATACTGCGCATGAGGAAGCATCTAAGTTTACGATTAGTACAAAAGTCTTTTCGATCACTAATTTGCGCACATAAATTTGCGTTTGGCCCATAACCAAACCATATGAACCTAAAGCCATAGTCGATGATTTATTTCAACAGGACTGCGATTTGGTTTCTCCGAAGACCGGAATCCCATATATTTAAAGCTTCCAGCCTCCCTTGATTCAAATTTCCTTTTCCACGCACACACACTACACACTACTGACCAATACCTCTTACCTACCTCAGGACAAATACAAGTTCCTATTCCATTCCCACCGACATTTGCGAAATTTCAATTTATGTCAACCTCGTTACGATGAAAAGTTCCCGGACGTGTCTGCGATGCTGGAAGCCGGGCTTTATCTTGGCTTCTAAACTTTTGGTTTGCCCAATCGTTTTTTATTTTTTGTCCCACGATTTATATCGTGCCCTGGTTCCTCCGATGTCTATTTTGGCTGGTCTATTTCATGTCATTTTACACCATTACGGCCATTTTTGTTTTCTTTTTAGCCCGGCCTACTTGGTTTGACGAGGAATCACCAGAAGAACACACCCATATTGGGCCGGGAATTCTAGGCGAAAAGTTGTCACAGGAATTAGGATGGGATAACTAGCTCGCTCCGAGGTAAGACAGTTATGGCCCATTCCTTGCCGATCGTGCAAGATATCATCCTTAGCGAGTGAGGCTAACACAAGGCAGAGAATTTCGGCGACCCGAACCGGAAGGCGGAGCTTAGTCCCAAAACTTTGCGGTTACTTGGAGGAACCCAAGTCGACCTTTCCAAGCCTCCCAAACAAGCGTCCTAGTACACAGGCCCGCAGCACAGCATGGGAGGTCAGATATTACACTCGAGGAGTTTTACCGCGAAAAACCACGCAAACCTCGCCATCTCGCCATGAGATTTAACGACTGCAGCGACGACGAGGAGTCGTATTCTGGTTACGGGAGCGCCCACACGCTCGAGAAGGCTGTACGCGATCCAATGAACGCGGCGAATACGACGTCGAACGACCACGGCTCATCGCTCGCACGAGCCGTCAACGACTACCCCAGCGGCCCTCCCTCGTAAGGGGACGACCTCCGAATACCCTCACACCAACCAGCCGAACACGAACCCGCATGGCGGGGCCAACGGACACGGCATGATAACACGCGCGCCTTCGGGTTTGACTTGGGAGCTCCGGGGATATGTGGACTATGTGCGGAATACGTAGTAGGAGACCTCTCACGCCGTTGCACCTAGAGTGTCGAGAAGTAGTGACTCTCCCAAGGCGTTCAATATACCATCCATCCAGTTGACTCTTTACAGTGCTCTCCACCGTCTTATGCGACCATCTCGCAGTCTTGTCAGCTGCATGACAGCGACCAAGTTGTCTGGGGAGATGGCGGGGAACTCTCTCAGGACCGCGTCGCCGTACTTATATTCTCGTCGTTCTTCTCGACGGCGCGCTGGCGGTCGCCTGGGGTGGCCTGCGAAGCCTTCTTGACGGCCTCGATCACCGTCTTAGCGATGCGGATGCCGACCTGGACTTTTTTGGAGCTCGCGCGGTCACATGTTCTCGTGTGGACGTCTCGGTCGGTCGTTGTCGTGAACCCAAAGTGGCGCGATAGGCTATATCTGGAGTAGGAAACTATCGGAATAAGTGACGGTTCTTAATGACGGTTGGCAAGCAGTCCGAAGGCGGCGACGGATAAACATATGTACACAGCGGTGACAGGTTGGGCAGGCGGTCAGCTGTTGGTAGTGGGTACATAGCCCTGGCTAAATATAGGTCTCGGGGAGAGAGGCGGCTTGTCGGAAGTGCCCGCGCTGATTGGTTAGTTAAATACGCCCCTTGGGCGACATAGTGTTTTTCGTATTCCGTATCCGTACAATATTAAACGATGCGGCCATTATCCACCGTTTCCCCGTTAAAATCAACCGTAAAGAGCTCGTTTTATTGCCACACTATGTACTATATCTCTTGCCTTCTATTAACAATGCCAATTCAGTTGTTTTAAGGAGAGCACGACTTGAGTTTATTAAGAAGCATTAATATTAATAGTAACTGTTTGAATTATTTGTTTTTGCACTTCTTTTACCTCTCTTGTTCGATGGGTATTGCGGGATCGAGTTTAGATAGTGATCCCCTGTGGGGCAGACCTGGTATAGGAGACTCCAATTCAGCATGCCAGAACTCCCAGCCTTGGAGGCTTCCATACCAACACTTCAACGTTTGTAGGTGCTTAGGAGCCTTCTTAACGGCTCTCCAATTAGCTCGAACCATAGATTTAAAGAGTTCTGCGACGTTGCAGCCAGCATCCGGAGCAGGGTCTACCTCCACTAGTCTCCCGGACACTGCGGGATCTTGGGCAACAAAAAAGCCAATAGAATGGCTAGCTTTCTGTTACGCTAGCCATTTCCCCCCGTACACTCCTTCCGAAGCAATAAACCTTTATATGTGTATGCTAAACGTTTAGCCCGAAAAAAAGCGGACCGGTATAACTAGATATAGTAGTTTACTAACTAACCAAACTTATATAAAGCTTTAGGCTTTAATTGGCCTAAGCGCTCTAAGAACATAAAAAAGTTCGATCTTCCCTGCAAATCTTACCGCAGACTTATTACCGAAAAAACTAGCTATAAGCACTTTACTACTTACTATAGAAAGTTTAAACATTTTTTTAACAAAATAAAAACTTATTTTTGTAGCAAAAAAATAAACTAGGGTTATATGTTTGATTATAACCTCTAACGCAACAAACTGCTAAACTACTTGCGCTTGGCGCTAGTTGTAGCAGTCAAACAAGCCTTTTTCGGTATAAAAGTAGCTAAAAAACACTACAGCTTTTAGAAACGCTATAATACTTCTATAAACCTAGCCTAGAACGCTACCTAACTTTTTTTTTAGTTATCTTATTTATTAGCAAACACGGAACCCCGCTGTTTATCTAAACATAAATCTAATAAAGTTACGTAAAAAACTAGTACCGACTAGGTGCATAGGCCTAGCGCCTAAATCGCTATAAATTAGTGTTAGCTCCCTAGGATAGACGTTAATACACTCTCTCTCTCTTTCTCACTTCAACGTTTGTATGTAATATTTGTGTTGTTTCCATCCGTAGCTCGTGTGGTATAGGTGTTGGAATAGCTATGATACCAGCTCAGTGACCACCCAACAACCCCGGAACCAAAACCATGTCATAATAAAAAGAACACTATGTAACATTTTAATCTGAGATGAGTAGTGCACCCCCCTCCTTTTTCCTTCTAGGTTTGCCTAATTTACATGTTAGGCATTCGCTCCCCTAAAACTAAACCGGTGCCTGATTCTGTAGTCAGCATCAACATCATCGTTAGGCAACTTCTCGAACATACGCAATAGCTTCTTTTAATTATCCTGTTGCCTATTCAGATGTATATAAATTGATAGTATTCGCAGGAATTTAGGTATTTGAGTTTTTTTTATCTCCCCTAGTATCCCTTAGAGAGCTCCAAGAATAGTCATAATCACATCGAATCATGCCTATTCCTAATCATTCAGTTGTACCTATCACCAAGGATGATATCCCCACCATCGGCACTTTTCTCCAAAACTCAAAACTTCAATTGGCGATCAACCGATTCCTTGTTCATGATTGGCCAAACTTCCCACTCCAGAAAGCGCACTATACCCGGGCGATCGAAGGCGGAGTATCAAACCCGCAAACCACGTCTTTAAAAGTGATCAATCATACCTCTGGACAGCCTGTGGCTCATCTGTTCTACACGAAAAAGGCGTCACGCTTTGCAGAAAATGATAAGCCTGCCGCTAGAAAAAAGGAAGAGCAGACGAAAAACGAAGTTCCAGTTGGATTTGCCCCCGAGGTGTACTGGGCGGCAATGAATGCAGCCAAGAGCCTTGAGCCAAATTTTGACACAGACGAGTATATCGGTAAGAGATCCCTGTGGTCGAAACGTCAATCGGCTAGTTCACGTTTTAACGATCGTTTCCTCTCTCAGAATTGACACATTTGTACGTCGAGCCATCCAGCCGAAGACAGGGAATAGGCTCTTGGTTGTTGCAGATCGCGCAAGAAGCTGCTATGGATGCCAAACTACCCCTCACCATGTGCTCCGAGCCCAATAATCACGATTTCTTTGCCAACCGTGGCTTTAAAGATACGAAGAACGCGGACTTAGATTTGAGGAACTGGGCAGCGTCATTGAGCGGATACGGAGTGTTTAGGATCTCAAGGATGGTGTTGAAGGATAAAGCGTCGGATGTAATCTAGGCTGCGTTGTAGATTAATATTTCCCTCCGAATGCGATTTTTGGGTTTCAATATGTGGAATGGAATATTCAAGGGTGCTGGCATGAAGTGTTAGTTGTAGAAGAGAAAGTATAGTGATGTAAAATCTCAGCTTGGATATTAGAACTAAGTTGCTCGCTTAAGGATAAAGTAATACTCTGCTAGCTAACAGTTTGTGAATTATATTGAGGTTTATATTTCCTTTTAGTTATTGAAGTATTTGAAGGGGGTATGGTATATATTAATAAACAAAAATAGAAACAGAAGAAAAAATAAAACCAAAAAACCAAAAAAAAAACCAGGAAACGATTGCTTTACATTTCTCTCGATCGGGGAATCGAACCCCGGCCACCTGCGAATTGTTTCATGACAAGCAGGTATCCTCACCACTAGACCAATCGAGATGCTGAATTTCGTTGCGACTAAAATGTGCCAATAAAATAGAATAGCGTTGTCTAGGTCAATTCAGGCAAATTTTTAAATTTCGGCATGAACAAAAGCTAGATAAGTTCACTAACTACCTGGGCTACGCAGGGCTAATGTACCTAGGTAGGTAAGGCCTATTTTAGCCAGCTAATAATATCTAGCGATAACGGAAGTATTTAGCGGGGCAGCGGCTAGGTAGTATTTTATAGGGTTGTATTGCTCTATTTGTTTGACATTATGTAGGCGAAAGTTTAACCGTCACAAATTATCCTCGGTGGCGCAATTGGCTAGCGCGTCGTAAGTTATACCATGATGATATACAATGTTGTTTTCTAACAATATGACAGTGACTGTTAATCAGGAGGTTGAAAGTTCGAGCCTTTCCCGGGGAGGTTTTCTTTTTTTCTTTTTTTTTCAACCCCTTTTTTTTCGTTTCCCGAGTAGCGTGTGCTAATGCTGGGCATTTCAACTACAGGTAGGCCCACCATACCCTAGGATTAGCGGTAAGGTTAATGCTAGACGGCTTTAGCTTAGTCATCTCACCTCGGCATCGCGTATCAACGATCATTTCGATGTAAAACAAGGACCTCAACTAGCCTCTGCCACCTGCAAGACCCAGCAATGATCGGTACTTTGAGTGTCCTTATTTAGGATCTTTTCCAAGTCCAATATCTGGATAAAGGCGCTTGGAAGTAAGTGTCGCGTTATTTTCTCGGCGACGCACCCAGCTCAGCTGTAATCGGGACGCATATCAGGGATTCGGGTCCTGACTCTAGACTGTAATGGCATTCAAGAAAGGACATTAACAGTGGTATATTATTGTCTTCGTCATTGAGTTTGAACTAGAACGGGAACGCTGGATTTTCCGCTGTTGTAGAAGGCAAGCCTCTCATTCCATTTGTTTCAAAGACCAGGCTCCCTATTTCGAGTGCATCATAGGGTATCCTTTGGGGTCCTTTGCAGTCAGCCTTGGGGCTCATAGCAGTTTCACGGGATCTCTCGCCGTGCTTGAGCCAGAAGTCGTTATTGATTAATTCGCTGCGTCCGCGCTGCTAGGGCTAGTGACTATCAGATGGCTTATTGATTCATTGTCACTGTGGGAGCCATTGCCTACCGGGGCAAAGCCAAATAGTGCTAATCAGACGAGGTGAATTGCCACGTCTTGTTGCATTTCTATAATTTCAGTAAACCCTGCGGAGCAGAACGGACAGTTTCTGTGGATTTAATTCGAAGTCCCCACGGCTGTGCCTTTGAGGCAGAGGACTAAAGGATCGTACATAATTTTCTGCTGATGTTTGACATGCGTGACTTAAAGGGTAGTAACAGAATTGCGAGTGGATCTGACGATTTCACGAAATATTGCGAAGCTTCCCTCTTTTTCTTTTTCCCGCATTCTCTAAAGCAACCCTTAAAGGTGAACCGGAAAGATTTCAAGCAACTTGAAGACTCGGAACGGAATTCAACTGGGTGGAATCCGCCATGCGGGCACTAAGACCATTCGCTACGGCCGACGAATTAAGAGCGGCAACCCAAAAAAAGCAGGTTGATGAAGTATCGCCTAATATCTGCCATGCTCCCATACCACCCCCGGTGGTAGTTACCGGTCGGGGACCCGGAAGACGCGAAAGCATTCAATTCCGCCGCATTCTCCCATCCGGGCTCTCGCTTCTATTCCGATCCCGAAAACAGCTCTCATCCCCTCTCTCTATCCCAACTCCCCCCTACTGGTGAATTCAAGGGTGTAGCCGGAGTACCCGTAAAGGGGTTGAGAGGGCGGACCTCAAGGCACGGAATACATGTAGAATGCCTAGGCCATGATCCAATCCCTCGATAGTAATCTCCCCCAATAATCGACAATTCGAGAACACATGAATACCCCAACTGATAGTCACTGGATTGGATGATTGATCTAGGCGATCATATGTTCTCGAGCTCGACCAACCAACAGCCTGGGTTTATCTCCGCTCGGAGCTCCGGGACAAGTTCGGACCTTGTAGGTATGGTTGGGTGTGGCCGAGGGCTATGGCCGAGCAATCCAACCACAATGCTACGCATGACGAAGCGGCTTAGCTTCCAGCTTGCCTCCAACCGAGCGCGTACATCGTCACACTTGACATCGATAGTTCGATCATGGCCGCATATTCCGTCACATATCCAGTACAATGTTCCGATTTTAGTGGATCTGATATTCTGAGGGGAACCCCAGCTTAATGTCTCGGTTTCGTCATTGGACGACGTCCTTCTTGCGACTATGAACATGGCCAACAAGTGTCATTGAACACGATATAAATAAACGCCGACTTCTCTCCTGTTCTCGGCAGTAGTAGGAACTCCGCGTGCCCAACAGAGCTTTGGACTTCTCCGCATCCGACGCCTCCACCAGCCCTCTTTCCCAACCGTCAGAGAACAAACAGCATGGCCGCCAACGAGACCCGTCTCCGCGTAGCCGTCGCCGGCGCCGGCATCGCGGGATTAGCCGCGGCCCGGATTCTGCGGGAGAAGCATCATGTCACGGTGTACGAGCGCGGCGAGCCCTCGGTCGCGACCGGCGGCCAGGGTATTGCGAACTTCCCCAAATCGACGCGCATTCTCGAGAGCATCGGTTTCGAGTACAAACGTGCGGGGTCCGTCGAGATCGGCGGCTGGAGGTCGGTAGATAAGGACGGGAAGTGCCTGCATAGCAGCGAGTATGATATGAGGGAGCGGTATGGTGCGCCATTGGTCAGTCACATGCGCGTGGACTTCCGCACAGAACTGCGTGAGTCCTCCTCGGAGTCACTTGCCTCTTATTTTATCTACCTTTGGCGCGTAAAGGCTCCCTTTTGGCGTCACGATAATCATGCCTTGGAAGCTTTCTACGCTTCCCAAACACTCTTGATCGCGCTCGGAATGGCGATAACTAACTCCGATTGTGCAGTGAGGCTGGCCACGTCCCCCGCTGAAGACTTAGGTCTTGACGCCAGCGCAGTCCCCGCAACTCCGCTGTGGAATAATGGTGCTGTCGACCTGGATGCTGAGGCTGGGAGAATCACATTAGAGGACGGATCTGTGGTTGACGCAGATGTTGTTATCGGTAAGCTGGAAGCTCGATTCCGCCCTCATGGGACGAGAACTAATGCGAGACCATAGTTGCCGATGGCATCCATTCTCGGCTACGGAATAAAGTACTCAGTGAGCCCGCCAGCCCCAAGAAGACAGGGATGACATGTTGCCGCGTCGCCGTATCGGCGGAACGAGTGGAAGCGGCCCTCGGCAAGCTGCCGCGATGGTGGCAGGACCAGCGCGAAAAAGAACATGGCCACATGCGCCTCGTCGAAGCGCTGGATGGCACATCACGATTGGTGGTGACATACCCGCTTCGCAATACCGCGTGGATGAATATGGCGTGGGTATTCCAGACCCGACGGGAGAGGGAGAACACGACGGAGTCGTGGAATGCGGATGGCGATCGCGACGAAATCCTAGGAATTTACGACGATTTCGACGAGGAGCTCAAGACGATGCTGCGGTGAGTAGCCGAGGATGGATTTGGGAGGGTTTCTTTGTACTGAGGACGTTTAGAGTTGCCGACGAGGTTAAGCTGTGGGAGCTCCAGGATCTCGAGCCTCTGCCGACGTGGACGTCTGGACGTGCGATCCTCATCGGCGATGCCGCCCATGCCATGACGCCTCTACAGGGGCAGGGTAAGAAGACTTGCGGCGATGCAGCGTTGAACATAATGCTGATTTTAGAGGTGAACAGGATCAAACATGGCTATCGAAGACGCCGATGGTCTTCGTCTTCTGACACAAGCCGGCATTACGAGGGATAGTGTGCCTGAAGTGCTCAGGAAAATTGACAGCGTTAGGAGACCTCGGGCCACGAGGGTGCTCATGAATACGCGATCCACATCCAGGATTTCTAGTGCGGCTGATAGGTACGCGAAATTCGATGAAAATTGCACGTACCCTGGCATATTTGGTGTCCTCCAGAAACAAGCTACGGTGTCTTGAGGACTGTAAATAGGACTACGTGAGAATATTAGTGTTAGAGCAGTGTGAGTAGGTCATAGGGGTTAAATAGTCCTGTACAGCTACTTGTAACGATAGAAGCCGACTCTTAGGCACGCACCACTCCGCAAATCGCAGAGGACCTCGAAGCATTGAAGTTAGCTCAGATTATGAGATAGCTTAGCGCAATAGGGAGCAACACTTAGGAAGATAAAGCTGTTACATGCGTTGAACATTAAAGCCCCCCTTTTTTTTCGGGGTCCCCGTTGCATTCGGGTTATAGGCTAGGTACATTGACAACCCTTCCTTCACAAACATCAGCCCCCCAACAAAAGGACACTGAGAGCCATAATCCAGACTCTGGTGTCCTAGCAACTTGTCGACATGCATACATTTCTAAAGGAATGAGATTATTCCTTACATCATGCCACCAGCCTAGGAAAAGCTCGTTCCGTCCTATTACCTGCCGTTACACCAATTAGTCTCAATCTCACCTTCTGCTTTATGCTGCTTCAATTGAAAGTTAATCGGTATTCCGAGTTGCTTTCCTAGGACATGTGTACAAATGATACTAGACGCCCCAGTATCAAAGAACTCGTTCATCGCCCCTGCTGCCAACTGTAGTGGCCGGCGATCGAACACGCCGCCGTCCAAACCGCTGGCTGCCATGAAGATCCAGCCGACGACCCATGGAAGTTGGCTCTCCTTCTCCAAATATGCCGGCGTATATAGCTGTCTCAGGCAGGGGTCACACGAGTCCTTGACAGCCCGCAGAAGCCGCCAGCACCAGCGGTGCATGTTCAGGTAAGGGAACGTATACTCCAAAAACTCGGCGTGAAGGGCATGGGTCAAGGGCCTGATAAGTTGCTCAAGAGGCATATTGCCGCTCTTAGCCGCCTTTCTTCGTCCTTCATTGCTTAGCTGTTGCAGCTTTTTCTTCTCCTTAAGCTTCTTGGGATCCGAAATTTGGCCCATCAGAAATGAACCGTCCTCTCGTTCAAACAGACTGAGCTCGATAATTTGGCTCACATATTCGGGGGTAAAGTTGACCTGACCAGTGTTTTCCACATAACGCGCCTTGAACATAGACAGAACAGGCGACGCCGCCTTCAAACCACGAGGTCCAGATCCAGACCGCAAGGGAGTATTTTTGCGCCTTTTGTTAGTCATTGCTGCAGCCGAAGTTCCCATTTGAAGACAGAATTTGTTGAAGTATGCCCGGGGTGTCTTCGGCACCTCTCCCCCTACGTAGAAGCTATTGTCACCCAGACTTGAGGCGAGAACGCACATATCAGGCCACATAGAATTCAGCAGCTTCTCATGATTCAATGCATTGTACAGATGTTGACAGTACTGGATTGAGCCCCAAGCATCAGCGACGCCTAGACCAATCTGGCGGTATC